TTCCCACTCGGAAAGGCAAGTCTGTAGTTTGGAGCCCAAAAGAAAATCTCGGTCACTGTCGCTGTGGATCTCCCTTGAAATCCTTTCCATTTTATAGCAAAATTCCTCTACCGTTTCGTTGTCCCTTTTACGGAGCTTATCCCACTCCTCTACCTTCTTAAGCTTCCTGCATGGGTCCCGCCTGGACTTTTCCAGCGCCTCCACTACATCCTCGAACGATCCTTCCTGTACCCCTTTGGGTAAATTGCTATACATTAGCTTTGCCGGACCATCCAATAGTGTCACCAATATGTCGCGCCGCTCCCGGTTACTCCAGGATTTCCGTGGGTATTTGATGTCAAAGGTCCTCAGGAAGTCACTCAGAGAATTTTTCCCTGTGTATTTCTCTACATTCACAGCCGCCTGGGCTTTCAAAATTGCTTTGACAACCTCCCACATCTCGGACGAAGGGTTCACATTGGCCGACGGGTCTATTCTCCTACTTAAAGAGAACTGCGACTCACTCATCATCTCGCATCGTGAAGATCCTGTCGCACCATCGTCCGATTCTCCTTGCGAGTCCCGCCTCCGGTGCTTCTGTGGCCCATCGTTCCTCGGCGGCCACTCTTGACGCAGATCGCACTTGCTCTGTAAGATTTCCTCATCTTTACGGTTGATGGATGCTAACAACCGCTCACCGAGCCTTCGCCATGAATAAGTCTCACCTTGCTTATTATCGCGTGGTTGCTCCTCCGTTTCCATTGACCTGCTTTTATCGAATTGCTCCTGCAACGACTTTAGTCTAGAAATCAATTGATCTCTTTCTTCCTTAAGTTTTAACACCGCACTAAATAAGTGTGCTTGTCCACACTTCATCTCACTGGACAAGCTTTCAATCAAGCCTAGGTTGCTCACTGCCTCAGTCAAGATTGATCGCAGTTGAGGGACGGACAGTCCGCTCTCGATCAAAAATTCTTTCAGGTCCCTTACTCCATCAAGGGATTGCTCCGTTGCAGCTGTCGCGGCTGCTTCTACAGAGCTCAAAATGGCTGCTCTTTTGGCCTCTGACAGCCTCCTCAAGTGATAGCTCAGAGCTTCGTCGCAAGCTCTTCTGATGGCAGCCACCTCACCTAGGAGCGGTGTTTCTTTATTGTTCTCTAACATCGGTAGAGATTCCAACCTGTTCTTCGTCCATGTCGTCCATTTCCTCGTCGTCTGAGTCCGCCCTGGGTTGCTTGGCCCCCATGTCATTTGCGGTGCGCATCCTTAGCGGCTCGGAATACCGTTCTGAATGAGCAGATCCGTCTAATGTTAATATCCTGGTTTGCTCCAGGGTCGTATACGGTGGGAAGCGACGACGGAACAAGAACAAGTTTATTAAATCAACAAACAATGAACGTAACGAGAATAATAAGGAAGAGGGGTGGAATCTCGATAAGTCTTGGAGATGACGATGGGCCTGGTGGGGCAAGAGTCGGCTAGCTGGTAGGAGCAGAAGAGAAGAATACAAGACTACTTCTGGGAACCATGCAGCGATATTTATACGGTGCCTCCCGCCCGATCAAGGTGGTCAATGGACCACCCGCGCGAAAAGTGACCTTTTCGCCCATGGCGCTACCGTATCGTGATCTTGACCTCACAGAAAGCATACAATTCCTGTGGTTGAGAAGGGGCGCATGAGGGAGGAAGAAACATGTATGTTGAGGTGGGGGAGAAGGGTTAATTAGTTTTCAGAGTTTGTACGGTCCTTGCCCTACCGTGTCAAGTATAGCAGTTTCAACTACGCTCCTACCGCCATTCTCATCGAACTTCGGGGGAGGTGAGGATCGTAAAAATTTTACGCCATAATTCCCCGCCATATCGCCATAACGTGGCAGTCTACCCTGTTGGGAGATCAATCTATGAGTCAGTACTTCTGTCCTAACGGCCGAATATGGTAAGAACTATTTGCGATATCATAGGTTGTCAAAAAAAGAACTTCTGGTCATTAAAGGAATCTTGCGCGGAAAATTCTTGCACTCTTTCCTAACATGAATATGTCAGTTGTGATCACTGGAAATAGCACACAAAGTTTCACGCATGAAGATTCGGTTTCTGAAGAGAAACAAACGTACAAAAACTACACGTTATGGACCATCGAAGGACCAGGAGGCAGAGCCAGGCGAGGCATGGAAAGAAGACGGCGTTTGGCCGGCTACGTACCAGGCGACGCAATGAGAGAATCGGGTTAAAGCGCGCGATTTCGGAGAGTGGAGACAAATCGATCGATGGAATAGGATGGAGTAGAAGTGTAAGATGTGAATGCAACGAAGCAGAAGGCCAGAAAGAGCTTCTAGTGAATGCACTCCAAGAACCAAGTTTGAGCATCCCCGTCGCCAGCATTCGTGAAAGACGTCCGTGGGCAATTCGAACGCGTAGCAGCCTTTTCGAGTTTTCGAATTTCTAATCAAAACGAAAGCAATACTTTCAGTTCTTTTCACTATTATCGTGGATAATGAGTCTCAAGCCAGTGATTTATGGCTGAAATAGAATCATGATTTTTCCGCGCAAGATTCCTTTAATCGTTCACCCCTGCGATGAGTGTGCCATTGAAATCCAGACTACTCTTGCCAAGATGAGTATGTCGAGGAAATCCTCGACAGGGGGGTCCTGTTTGTCAAGATGGGTCATGGGGTGTCGTACTCGTGTGGTCTAGTAACAAGCACACATGCACCATGATGCAGGTAGGAGGAAGAGTGTGTAGTGCTGCAGAAAACGAGGATCTGTGAGGAAACATGATACAAATATCCACTCATCTACTTTTATGAGAAGAACGTATTATTTATTTATTTATTTATTTAATTTATAGAAGAACGTATTCAAAGCGTACAAGGAATGAAAGTGACATGTGCACAGGCCGCTTGGAAAGGCACCTCCTCTATCAGTTAGGCTCAGTCATAAGTAAGTGCCAGTTTCATCGGATCCACGCAATTTTCCCAGAAACCTTTGTGTTGTTCCCCGCAGAGCAGAATGTGACGACCTAAACGTCCTTTCATATAACGAAATTTGACCGTCAGTACTCGTCTTTTGGGAGAAATAATGCCGTTCCCCTCAACACGTGTTCGTCACTGTATATTTTACGAGTTCCGCCTGGGGCACTCAGCAGAGCGATATTTCGCGTATGAAGACCAGAATCGCTGAATTAGGATATCTATTGAAATTGGTTGTAGGAAGCTTCACCAAGCGACTATAACCTTGAACATCCGATCCATGTTCTGGACACCCAATGCTCGTAGATATTGAACGCATGCAAGAGCTTCTTGAAAGGCAACCCGGTACCAGTACCCGTCAAACTGCAGTGAGACCTTCAGTCCTCCCAGTGCACCATGTGTCGTTCCCTCAAGGCCATGGAGAAATTGTACACACTGAGAAGATGGAATTCTCACGAGTTGGACGGAGTGGCTCGAAGGAGGCGTGTGATCATCTCACAGAGTTTGCTGCATAAAAGTCGCTGTTTCAATCAGTTTGACAAGTCTCGGTCACTGGTTAATGGAGTCGCCAGCCTAGCAGGCCAACCTAACTGAGCATCGTGTAATGTATAGCACGACAACGAGCCCCAATAGAGCGAACTTCACCAGAGCAGGTTCCCGCTCAGGGGGGGAGCAGATGGCTCACATCACAGACTTCAAACAATACCACCACTGCCGGCGCAGGCACCTAGTACTTACAGCTGGATAAACTTGATTGGACAACTCGCAAAGCTGAGGCTCTCAATACATGAAATTGTTCCACTGTGCCGCAGCTCGCAACCCACATGTATTGAGAGAATGCCAAAATACATAAAGAAATTTGGCCTTGTGATTTATCCCCACTCTTTCTATCCACTGAGGTATAGCAAACAGTCAACCAGTTGTTCCGCTTGCTTGCTCGTTTCCTTAACAAAAAAAACTGCGATGACGGCGAACACCTCAAAACAGACATCCACTGCTTCTTGACGTTGAAGGTTGCGTAGTTTTGCGGGAGATGTATCCATTCACTCCCGGATAGATAGAGGACACCTGTAGACATTTGTGGTAAATAGGGCATTTAATCAAGGTGCTTCAAAAGAAGGTTGTGAATTTTCGAAAAATTTCTATCAAATCGGCAATTACTTATGACTCAACCTAGTATGTATAGCTCGCCTCCCCACCTTCGATATCTCGTTGAGATTACAGTTGTTAGGGATGCAGTCGCAAAAACGACAGTAGTGAAGGAAAGGTCCTGGGCAAATGAAGCTGTTCCTGTCATAGGAGTTTTAGGAGTAGGAGAGATGCGCTACTATAATCCACTTTCTGTCAAAAGGTCATCATCATACAGCACCTTTCAATCGATTCTTTAACTTTGAGTGGAGCTCAGATGCATGGTCTATACGAGACGAAATGGCGACTGCCCCTTTTCTTGTCACTTACTTCGGAATAGTGTATTTTTGACATCTTTTGAAAGCTACTCGAATTGACTTGCATCGAAGCAAATATCTCCTCAACTAATAGGAAATTGCAGAACAGACGCTTAGAAAGCGCAAACCTTCCGCTTTCCAAAACTGTCTTTTTTTTCAAGATCTTACGAAATTAGAGAGATATTGCCTTTTAAGTGGCAAAAACTCGCATGAAAATTTCAGCGTCCTCGACGCTTTACTCGACAAAATTTGAGAGACCCTATCTTTCTGAGTGGAAGGCTTTCAGAGCAATTTCAACATTGTTTAACGAGGAACCTCATCTGACCTATCGCATACTGTTCAAAAGGTTATGAAATGAGGTAATGGAACCTTCATCGAGGGTGTAGATTTCGATGGTTTCGAGCGGGGTTTCGGCAAATCTGACCCACGGATAAACCGCGCTGCAACTGATACTGTACATTGATGGAACTCGCTTATTCACATCAAATCAAAGTTAGGAGGTCGTATCAAGACCCCTATTTTGGGGAAGGGGTTCGTACTGCCGCGACCACGTCCTCAGCACAATTTTCACCCTGCCTCTGGCACCTTTTTCGTCCTCCTAGAAGAATCCAGAATCGGTGTCTTTACATTCCGGAAAATGAGCGTGAGCGCAACCGTCGAATATATCCATGGCAAAATCGGTGAGGCAAGCGATCACGAAGCAGCAAATGTTTGCACTAGTGACGCTGGTGCCTGCGAAATGGCACGTAAATGAGAGCGTGGTTACTAATCAGAAATCGTTCGTTTCGTCACGTTCTGCACATATTTCAAAGAAAGTGTATGCGTTTTTCGATCCTGGCCACATCTGCAATAACACAAATAATCAATCGCGTGCGGCAGAGCATCAGAAATCGGAAGGGCTGCCAATTGGACAGTTCCTATCATCGATCCAGATGAAAAAATCGAATGTGTTTGACTAAACATGCTGCTCAAAGAAGAATTCCAGGATTAGTTGACGACAATTGCCACTGTGTAGAAAATAATTACGGCTTGCATGAGAGTGAACAGCGCTTTTGCAGGCCATTTCGCTGGCTTTTTGCCTTAGATCCACCACCCCCTCCCCTCCCGAACTGGCCGAGATCGCCATGTGTTGTGGCTTTCAGTGCTCTTATAAGACACCGGCGCTTTCTTCTACTATTTATCTTCTGCCATCACCCCTTTCAATGAGCCATATTCTGATAAGTATTTTCACGTCATCGTCAAGGTTGCATATCTTCGCTTGCTCTGGGCTTCCGAGTTGATCGCGTTATTATCGGTGTGCTGCTATCATCGCTTTTATTAACCGTAAAAGCGATGGTAGTGTCACATAAGCACTGTGAGACAGCGAAGGCAGGAAAGGCAAGGTACTGCTCAGCGATTGCTAGGTGATCTATATAAATAGATCTCTACCATTTCAAGGATAAAGGGTTTACTTTTAACAC